GAGATAAAGTCTCAAGCTGTTACCCTGGATAGAGTGCCGTGTTGTCTTAGCTCACAGCAACCTCCAACTCAGGCTCAACCAATCCTCTTGCCTCAGCTTTTCCACTTTTGCTCAGGCTGGTCTCAAACTTGTGAGCTCAGGCCTCGGCCTCAACCGCCTCAGCCTCCCAAAGTGCTGGGATTACAGGCGTGAGCCATTGTGCCCAGCACCCAGCTCTATTTTTAGTAGAGATGGGGTCTCGATCTTGCTCAGTCTGGTCTTAATCTCCTGAGCTCAGGTGATCAAAGTGCTGGGATTATAGGTGTGAGCCACTGCTACTGGTCCTAGGAGTCATTTCTAAGAAGGAGGAAAAGTTCTAGCACAATGTGTTACCTACGTGTCGAAAGTCAGCCAATGATATTTACAATACAGTTCCTGCTCTTTGCCAAAAATTGATCTCCAGAGTTTTGGGTGGGTGTATAGCCAAAGAAACCTCTGACAATTACTAGAGAGCCTGACCCCCCCCCCCAACACACACACACAGAGCTCGGTATTATGTACAATGTTATAACCTCCTGTTCCCCAAATTATAAATTAAGTGTGGCTTGAGTTTGTAGAAGTGACAATAAACTAATAATGAAACATTAATGCTGACTTTTTAGCAACATAATTGTAGGGTATTTGTTCATTCATTTGACAGATTAAAAAATACTAAGGACATAGAAAAGGAAACTAAGTTTCCCAGGAACTCAAGGTCATGTGCAGAAAGCTAGAGGATAACAACTATGATACAGGCGCAGGGTCCTCAAAGTTTTTACACCGGGGGCCACTGTCCCTCAGACCGTTGGAGGGCCGGACTGCAGGCCCCAGGACGAGCCGGCTGCTAAGCAGGACAGGCAGCAGCGGCAAAAACACCCGGCAGGCCAGATAAACGTCCTTGGCGGGCCGCATGTGGCCCATGGGCCACAGTTTGAGGACGCCTGTTTTAACCAATGAAATGTATCCATTTGGATTCTAGTAAAAATCAACTATAGTTCTTTTATGAAAAGTAATTTTTGGAGATAATTCAGGATATTTAAATAGTGGCTGGATCTGAGATGATACTTGGGAATTATGGTTATACTTATTAGGTATGTAATGATATTATGGTCATAATTTTAAAAAGAGTTCTTATTTCTAAAAATACATACACATATGCATTTAAAGATAAAATAACATGTGTTAGTAGTGTTTGCTTTAAAATATTCCAGTGGGAATGGTGAAGGAGAACAGTGTGTGTGGGACACACATGGATGGTCACCAACACAAATTACAGGTACTTATGGAAGCTGGAGTCTTCGTACACAGAAACCCATTGCACTGTTTTCCCTAGTTTTCTTATTTAAAAAAATTTATAATAAAACATTTAGAGTCTAGTGAAATAATAATAATACTCCCAGCCCAGGACAACAGGGAGGGGAGAGGACCTGGGGGTGGGCGCTCCTGCAGAAGGCCAGGACACCATGGCCATGGTTTCACCAGATACGCAGGGGGAGTGTGCAGGGTGTTGACATGAACCTGGGGGTGGGTGCTCCTGCGAGGCCAGGACACCATTGTTTCACTGGATATGCAGGGGGAGTGTGCAGGGTGTTAACATGGGCTGTACGAGGTCAGGGTGGGGAGTGCGCAGGGTGTTAACATGGGCTGTACGAGGTCAGGGTGGGGAGTGCGCAGGGTGTTAACATGTGCTGCACGAGGTCAGGGTGGGGAGTGCACAGAGTGTTAACATGGGCTGCACAAGGTCAGGGTGGGGAGTGCACAGAGTGTTAACATGTGCTGCACGAGGTCAGGGTGGGGAGTGTGCAGGGTGTTAACATGTGCTGCACAAGGTCAGGGTGGGGAGTGCGCAGGGTGTTAACATGGGCTGCAGGGTCAGGGTGGGGAGTGCGCAGGGTGTTAACATGGGCTGCACGAGGTCAGGGTGGGGAGTGCGCAGGGTGTTAACATGGGCTGCACGAGGTCAGG